AAAGCGGGTTACTGAAAGACATTTTTTTCCGAACATTGAGCTGTTTCAGGAGGGGAAATGTCTGCGATGGGAAGCCGGCGCTGAGGGACCATTTCTTGCCATCGCCTGATACAAAGTGGCCGAGCGGAGTCTCTTACGTATATCTCCTAAGGGGTCACGTGACTGTTTTGAAAGGTCCCGTGCTTTCCCCGAAACTATATTCAAATGCCCAACAGGTTCCGAAGTACTATGACGGAAATCTCGTACATTTTAAGAACTCTTGACGGGTATATATGCATCTTAGAAAACTTCGATGGCCATGTCAAACCTTAGCATTCCTTAGAGGGTACATCAATACTTTTCAGAAATTCTAGTGGGCCCCACAAAAGAGTTTTCAATATGGATGCTTCGACGTACATGCATAATCGACGCTTCCAAACGTAGAAATACAAATCCCTTGTTTGTTCTTCTAAGGAACGCATTACAATACGTAGGAATTCAGTGTCTTTGAATAAGCGCTGTAAGGCGGCTACGGCTACAGAAAAATTACACATTCAAACGAAGGGTAAAGAAACGATTTTTTTAGATATAGAAACGCTGTTTTTTTTTTATTTCAGTGAGCAGTAAATATCTCAGTAACTTATTAGCGGGTAACGAGTAACGAGGCTACTTCTTGAGTAACGTGTATGTCTGCTGAGCTCCAGTAATGACGTAAATACTGTTTCAGAGTTGCAATGTACAAGCTGACGACAGAACGACCGAAGCAGCACGCATGAGCTTCCAAAGAAGCCGGGGAAGGGGGACCGCGAATGCGCGGCGCTGCCCGGATATGCGCTGTAGACTACCGACTTATGTCGTCGCGCACGTCCCGTCTTCTGCAAGAGCAACTGCCGTTTCTTCCAGAATACTCGGAGTAAACAAAAACGAGACTGTTGCGATAACCTTCATAGCAAGCGCAGCATATACAGTTGCGCTAAGCTCCATCGATTGTATTGTTGATGGCGGTCGGACTCTAATTAATATCAAATAAATATAGGGTGTCTTAAGTCGCCAGGTTCGATCTAAAACGGAACGTAAAAATCGGCGGTTGTCCGTTGCAATCTAAACGTTTTCTCAAAGGTGTATTTCGCAGATCGCTATTTTCATGTAAAATTACAAAGCCTACCTCCCTTTCTGTTAAAAATAGGACCAAGAAACTTGCCAGGGCCAATGGCGGGCGACGACGCAAACGAACATGTTGAGTGGCGGGGCGCGTTTGGCGCTTGTATTGATAGATGGCGCTACCTCCTCATCGGCACCGTTGGCGACCACCGTGGTTCATTAATATGAACATAATCTTTTTGTAATGTAGCATTGGTTAAAAAATAAATGCAGGAAATAAAAACAAATATTAAAGTTAAAAACAAAACGCGGTTGCATAACGACGGCGTTCTCGCTGCAGAAGGATTTCTTCTGTGTGTCGTCTGCTTTCTTTCCCTGGTCGGCTATACCTCCGTATGCTGCTCTCGACGCCGTCTATCATATCAATACGTACACACTAAACATTTTCACGCCCTTATTGGTGTAAATGGCATGGGTCACAACTCACCCCCTTATTGGTGTACAAAAACGCCCTAGAAAAATGGTGTTATTTCTCACACCCTCAAAAACCGGTGTAATCACTTACACCCTATACAGAAAGGAGTGATTCTGCTCTACACCTATTTATTAGGGTGTGATGGCAGCAGTACACCCTACCAAAAACGTGTACTGCAGCTAGAAGAGCATGGTGGGTAAACCCCGAGACTAGTGACAAAAAAATTGGGAAAACACAATACTGTCTCAAAATGTCTTGAGACGTGTTGTGTTGTCCCGATTTTTTGTCTTAGTCTTGGGTTTTTTTCACCATGATCCTTCACCAGCTCGCCTGCGCAGTAACTCTCACTTCATTCAGCTACAAGACGTTATACTAAATGTGTAACACAGCACTTCATCAAAAAGTATTTACGCAGAAATGATTGCTAACAAATTGAAACATGTGGAACACTTTATTTTTTGAATTCAGAAAAAACGTGCATGGACCTCATCTTCTTCTTTCGCGAATTCGCGAGAAACCCATGTCAAACCTCAAATGCTGGCATTTGTGACCTAGTGTTAAGTTTTTGTGACAAAGCTACAAAATTCTTCGAGGCTTAAAATAAATGCACTCAAACTTTAAATAAGGCTTTCCTTCGCCTAAACCTACTTTAAAGCTTTCTAGCTCTGCTGACGTAGGCAAAACTCGACAGGCTGGCAGAGACGGAACGACCGGGAGTTGATCGAGGCGTAAACAGCAGTTCATGCTTGTAAACAGTAAAATGGTCTATTGAGACGGAAGCAGGACTACTACCAGAAGCATGCTTGCAGAGTACTTACAAATAAAACACCGATCTCATGTAATCCGTGATACTTGCATAATCCGGTTCGGGCACCACAGAAAAATTCGCAAACACAACGTCCAGGATGAAGGCGGTTGCTCACATTCAACGGAACTCTCGCCGTCGCCGATGAGCAGCTCTCTGTCGTGATAGATGCACAATCCGACTAGGGCAGCACAAAACTACGCAAACACAATGTCGAGGATGAAGGCGGTCGATCACAATCAGCGGAAGTCTCACGAGCGCCGACGAGCAGTTAGTTCTTTGTTGAAACGCGTCCAACAAACACAGCACAATAATTCTATGGACTCCGACGAAATTCACAAATATTACCAAAAAATTAGTATGAACGTATTCCGGCCGTTCAAGACGAAAAACCACGGCTGCGACTGCAACGCACGAAAAACAGAAGAACACTGACGCCTGACGGAAGCTTTTTAGAAACCGGACCTACGTGGCCCCTACACTCACCGTAATTTGGAATACGGCAAAGACTTCGGCCCCAGTGAGCCCATCAGCGCGTCGGAGCGAGTCACGTGACATATTATAGTCCAAGCGTCCCTGTCCCACGGAGAACGGTCACGTGTTGCACACCAACCCTCTGATTTGCTAGAAGCGGCCTTCGCACTCGCTCACAGCCACACGAAGACACAAAAGAAGGTGTGGAGGCTTATCAGAAGACGAGGTCAAAGAGGGGTGGACAAAGCAGCTAATCTCCCTCTGCGGCTTTGTATAAGCCACCTGGGCTGCCCAAGGAGGGTCGCAAAATGGGAAACGTCAGGACTTGCTTCACGCAGTGGCGTGCGTGCTCTGATGCCGACCGCGAAATCACGAAATAAATAACACAAAACAAATTCGAACGCATGAAACAAGCGATGCAATTTCACCCGTACGAAAAAAGAAAAAAAAAAGGGAAAAAAAGCGTCGGGAGGCTAGATATTTTGGTGTCAACTAAGGATCGCGTACTATAGCCGGGGTGTCATAAATTCGGCACTTTCGATTGTCTTGCGGAATTGTTTCGTTAGAACTACACACAAAAATAAAATCTCAGTGAAGGTGCTATAAGTAGTGCGAGGGCCAGTCAGGTGAGTTTGTAATACACGAAATGAGGGCGCCACGGCCCATAGTTTGTTCAGTGGTTCAGCGCAGGAGGTCTTTCTCTGGTTAAAAGTAAGTAGATTCCGTTTTGCTTCATCTTGTTTTTCTTTTCTTTTTTAATGTCGGATTTTAGGCGGTTAAGAAATAGACATACCTCGCCGGCATAGGCCATTCATGCGGGAATCTTGAAGCTCAACCAAAAACGGCATCGCCTACGGTATGTCAGGATGGCGTCGCCGCGACCCATCCTTTTTTTTACAGATATTGGCTGGACCAAAATGGTAACGGCGCAATTTTTCATATTTGATCCTATATCGGCGCAATGCTGTGTGCTGTTTGGGTTGTATATTGACACGTCTTCGTTCATCTTTTGCGAGTGGAGATGTTTTGTTTTTAAGTCGAAGTTGAACTGATGAAACTGACGCACACGCGACACGTAATTTTCGGCTCCTCTCGGACGAAGAGTTCGATCGGAGTTGCAAAAACTATACTCCATCACTTCCTAACCATACGCGACTTCGTGTAGCGATTAATTATACTGGATGTTTATACCGCCGTACATCAGCAACAGTTTCAGCAAAGCAATAAGCATTAACGGATATGAAATCATGGGTGTATTAGACTGGCATCACCATAACGCCCCTTTCACACCGTGTTAATACAGGGCGTATAATTCGCCCATACACCCTTTTTACACGATTTCAGACGCCATCGCAATAAGCGAGGTCGTAAAAAGGGTGTGGAAGGGATGAAAAACATCAGCACACCCTTTTTACACCCACCGATATTCAAATATCGTGTAAATGAAGTGTAAGAAGGGTGTTTTTCCTAACTTACACCCTTTTTACACGATTATGGGTGTTATAATGTTTAGTGTGTACGTACAATGCGCCCAGCAAACCGATTTGGTCGTCTGCGTCAGAGAATGCCGTTGACCCTGGCATATATCTTGGTCCTATGTTTTACAAAAAAGGAGCTAGATTTGTAATTGTACACGAAGCAACTGATTTGTGAAATACAGCTTTGATGAAAAGATTAGATTGCACCGCGCAGGCGTCGATAGTTACGGTTTATTTTAGGTCAAGCTTGTGACTTGGGACACCCTATAAATCGACGTCTTTATTGAGTGATTAAATATGAACTAATTACCATCTCGTACAGAACCTGAACATTTAAAATATTTGCAGGCTTGGGGCTACTCATGACGGGGGTTACACTAATCTGGGACCAGATGGAAATCCACTTAACAATTGCAGCAAACATGATGGATACATCATGGCGCCTTATACTCTCGGAGGCAACAGAGGCCACTTCTCGAACTGCTCTATTCGACAGATTCGGGAATTCGTCAAGTAAGAAACATGCGCTACCTTTCATTTCACACCTTCGCCAGGCACCTCTACAGTGCGAGGTCTATAGACTAGTTAGCACCGACTATATTGTGTAAACAGCCTCTTCATTTATGCAGACCCTTAATCTTCTAATTTCGGAGAGATAATTTGCTGCGCTGTTGTCTTCCTTGCTGTTTGAAAAAGCATAAAAGTAAAGTAACTGCTCTTAAACCTTCTAGCACATAATACAAATATTGTCAGCTGAGCTGACCATATACCGAGTGTTTGTGAATATTGTTTTAAAACTACTTGCAAATAGAGCTCGTGGAAGAAAGGGACTTTTTACAGAAACAAACTGCCAGCCACGGTAGTTGACAGGGATGGCTCAGACACTCTAATCAGCAAAATATTTACCTGGAATTTACTAATTCCTTATTAAATAATGAAATTAAACACGTTTTTGTTTATTGTTTGCGAATGAACTTATAATATAGTCCTCACCGCGGGCCCCTTTTTGTGCTGCATTTGTGATATTTAAATTCCAGTCAACTCCTAGGATATTAAAAAAATTCCAACACTCACCACATTGTGTTACGGTGATTGACCTTGAATATACAAGTTGCTTTGCCCAAGAGAACGGGGAAACAAAAAATACGCTACAATTGCGCTGCTTGCCGAACCCTCATACTAATTTTCATAGAAACAGAATATTCCCCCCTTCAGAAATGAAGCCACACTAAAACATTTAAAAAAAATTGCACACCGTTGTAAGCATGTCTTTTTTGTAGAGTGGACAAACAAAGGGTGAATTCTGTTACATCTAAAAATGCGATGTTCTTATGTGAACTATTTTTATAACTTTTGCTTTAGTTGAGGCCACATACACATGGTACGACGAACGTGCTTTATTTCTGTCGAGAGAGAGTATAGCGAGAAACGCATAAACATGCCTAAACATGCAACCTTACGGTCCTAGGCATGAATAGTCAATCTGCCTTTAGAAATAAATTGTTAATGGATAAAAAAAACTCAAGAATTATCCTAATTACAAAGAACCTAATACTGGGCTAAGTCAAGTCAACACAAAGGCGAATAATTACTTTGTTCTTTATTGTTTTAGCATCGGGGTTATTCTTAATTATCAACAAGGCCGTGGGGCTGACAGTAATAATCCGGAGGTTGGAAAGTGGCGCGCTCCGTTAAAGCCATGTTGTACGCAAGAGTGGCTACTCGTCACGTAACCTCACAAAAGCCGTGACGTCACCAATAAGGTGGCAGTGACCAGAGCTGGTGGGTGCGAGTTTGTTTGGTGCGCAGCAGTCGTAATATGCAGCCGCTGGCCGACAATTTCGGACTTCTTCGTGCTGTCTGACGCAGGTATATCGCGAAGATCTGAAGGAATACTACTTTGGTGAAGATCGCTCTGGATATTAGCACTTCTGAGACAGAATCAGTCATATCACCATAGCGGTGCTCGGCCCAGCAAACCGATTTGGTCGTCTGCGTCAGAGAATGCCGTTGACCCTGGCATATATCTTGGTTTCCGGATATGTTCGTCAATCGATATAAATATTAGCATAAAAGCCTCGATTCTCCTTGCTTTTTTTGAACGTTAGAATTTCTGAGAATCGAAGCCAAAGGTATGGTTCGCGTGTAAGTCGTAGAGGGAGTTCTTTCAGCCGTAGGCCATCTAATTATCACAGCAAGTTTTAGCGAGGAGGCTCCTACGATCTTTATCATTTGTACTAAAACAGTTCCACAACATAAGTTTTAGCATGCAATTTTATAATTCTTCTAGTTTTCTTTGTAGTTTCAAATGCCTGATAATCAAAGCGAAATGCAGGTGTCGCACATAGGGACTAGGGGAAGTTGTTTTAGCCCTAGGTCTCCGAATTATCACAGCAACTTTTAACGAGTAAGCTCCTGTGATTTTAACATTTTGTACCAACCGACGGTTCTACAAATTGACAGTTCTCAAAATTTCTATACTAAGCGCTTACACTGCAGTAGCTCGCAATCGATCGCAGTATCCGTTTTTTTTTATTAAGTGAAAAGATCGTGCTCGGTGAAGTGACGTGTACGCAAACTCTTACAAAAGATTCGAACCAATCAGTCGTTCATAAAACAGTTCCATTTATCCCATTTGAACTGCGAACACAGTTAGCAAGTCTTCACGTTTTTAATTGGTAAGTTCAGAAATTACTGTACTTGAAGTCTCTTCAAAATTAGTATTAGCAGCCTCTCGACTTTGCCGATCGGTATCAACTGCTCACACCAACCTCCAGCTCACACTAACCTTCAGACCCCTTAAGATGATTGCTGATCCATCATTCCAGCACCTCAAATCTTTTAAAAAATGGAGCTTCGCTCCTTAGTGGTTCAGACCAGACTTGTACACGTTACTAAAAAATAGTAAGGAATTACATTTACAATTACTCAAGGCTAAATTGTACCCTTCCATGAAAGTAAGTGACCGTTACCCCAAAAAGTAATCCGTTACTTTAGTGGCGTTACTTTCAAGAATATGGTCTTCAATTAAGAATCAAAGGGAAGAGGGTTATTCAAGTTCTTATTGTTGCAACCTGTTCTATTTGCGCACAGGCGGCGGCAGATTATTGGGTATCGTTAATGGAGTCATCGGACCGACCGAATAAAATTCTCCATTCTCGAAATCACGAAGCAGTAGAAGTCATCATACATCTAGCCAAAACTACAATAAAAATTGATTTATGTCCATCTTACTATCCCGGCATATATTGCCAGACAATAGGAAAACATAGTTGTAACAGTAAGGTGATAATTAAAAGTAAATACGGTTTGCCTCGATATTCTTCTTCCTTTGGTTCTGAACAGGTGGAGCCTCGGTTGAGACGTTGGTGAATAAAAAGATTCCAGTAAATAAATATAAGCGATCGAAAAAAAGGGCACTCATAACAACAATTAATTAGAACGTCGGTTTAAAAAATGAAATGTTAACGCACGTTTGTCGTGTGTACCTTTCTTGGTACGTTCAAAAACGCACGGAGCACGAATCGACTGCAGCTTACTCCGGTGTTCTCCAGATAGACGCTGATGCCACGGGCAGCGAAGGGCAGAGTACTGAATAAGCCGCGCTATGGCCTTACTCTCGAGTTTCACTTTCTCCCCAAGCCCAGAATACCAAGTCTACGTCAGTCACTATTATGAATATTTGTAAAAATATCTGCTTCAGATAAGATGCGTCCTACTGGGGGAAAAACAGGAAGAAGAAAGGAAGAATATTACCATTTTCAAAGTACTCGCAAAAAGCTGACTCACAAAAAGGGTGTCTGAGATGCTGATAACCTTGCTAGAATTCACAAATAAAGTGGGCCAACTCTAGAAGTTGGACTACAAAAAACTAAGTAGCTTTTAAAACAGGGTAAAATAAGGTGAAAGACAGCGAAAATAAAAACATCCTGTTTTTGAGAAGACGATAACTGTGCAGGCAACGAACGACGATGCTTGTGGCAAGAGCACGTTCACATATTATCACATCTCTTTTAGTGGATCTTAGGGTATACGGAGCGTTGTCTGGTGTTGTTACATAATGAAAATGGTCGTAGTCATTATAAACAAGAAGGACTATGTTAATTATTGTCTGCGCACTTACCGTCTGGAGCTTCTCGAAGAGGTACACAATAACTTTGCGTCCTTCTCTCCCCGTTTTCGATCACGAAAAAGGACTAAAAAACGGATATAACTTGCCATCCCCCCCCTCTTTTTCCTTTTTTTGAGAAATGTTTATTTGTCTGTTTTTACATTGTTGTTAGGGTCTAAAAAAATATATTTAGGAGCTTGGTGTTGCAAACAAAGAAGGCATTGCGGAACTGAAGGGTGCCAAGCCTCCCTCTGCGCGTGACAGTGTCAATGCGCTCGACTTTACCAAAATAAAAACAACCCTTCCTTTAGAAAGGGGGGGAAGGGTTGGTCCTAAAAAAAAAGTAATGAATTACAAGGACTCCGGTACGTAAAAAATGTAATGGAATTAGTTTAAAATTGCTCTAGAAAATATGTAATTATTCCGTTACTAAATTACTGATAAATGTAAGGAATTACAAGTAATTTCGTTACTTGTAACGGATTACGTACAAGTCTGGTTCAGACAAAACACCACACATATTAACATTTCGTTAAATTGAATGCAACTGGGAAATACAAATTGAACTGCACATTTTTCACTCTCGTATGATCAATTGCAGCCATATTGTTTTTCATCAAGTGTTCATAGCATCAGAGTGTTGATTATTTAATTGTTCTAATTATCCGAACAAAATAACTCGTATTTATGTTCGCCTCTTGCCGATAGAAGCAGTTTTGAAGTAAAATGTTGAGTAAGACTTTCTGTTTCTTCAACATACTTTTATCATTTAAACGCATGCGGCCTATACTTTGTTTCATCATAACTTGGCAATAGGCAAACGCTAAAGCTCCCTCGAGCCGATTGGAAAGATGGAGTGCACTTATGCGACAACGTTCTGCAGACGTAGAGCACTCTAACGATATGTTGTCACGTGCTTCTCTCCAACGTGCCCATTGGCTCACTGCGACTGTAGCCTTCGCCGTTTGCCAAATTGTGACAAAACACAGTATAGTAGCTACTGCGCTAATTACCCGATGCCTTTATACTTTGGGTATGCAATCTGGGCATGGCTTTGACAAGAATGTCATGCTAGCAATCACTGTGAACTCGACTCAGCGTCTATTTGACTCGAGTGCTGCATTAGTGTTCGACGTGAACTGGGGTCGTTCACGTCCTTGACCCCGAAAAACAAGATAGTGACAGTCAATGTAGCTTGATGGGGTTTCGCAAGTGGCCTATCGTTATCTCGAGAGTGTTCTTGCACAACACCATGATGCAACGCTACTACCGGTTCGTAAATCTCACCGGAACATGCCGGAATTCATGTTGGAGGCATTTGTCGCTGTTATACTATGTTTTGTGTGCTTTGGGGCCGTGTACGCACTGTAGTTTGTCCGCTCACTCGAGGTCTAAAATGGTC